TCTTCACTGGGAGACAAGCAGCAACGAGTTACAGTACAGAAGCACTGGCTACAACTCGCTTGCCATGCTGGACTAGAAAAGTTAAACATTTACCAATGAAACCCATAAAAAGTGCAGTTAGTTTATTAAAACAGCAAGAAGCAACACAGAAGATATAAACAATACTGAGTTTATCTTAAGGATTAAAAAAAAAAAAGAATCAAAATAATTAAAATCAGTTCCTACAAAGCAGGACACACTGAAAACCCACACGATACCACCCTTGTTTCTCAGTGTGTTCTTCGAGCACACAGAATGTGTATTTGTCCAGCTACGATTTCATAACAATTAGCAAGGATAGCAAGTTTGCTTACCAGGCTGAACCCTGCCAAATATGGTAACTCTGCACCAGTTTGAATGCTAGCCCTCATTCCTAAGGGCAGCAAAAGCTAGAAGCAACTTCAGGACTGAGGCAGAACACCACATCCCAACACACATGACTTCCAAGACTGCAAAGCTTCAGTTTTAATTCCTAAGTATTGATCTTTGCTCTTTCCTCTCCCAGAGATCTGGAAGTTTCAGGTCACATTTAGTCTTCCTCCCCCTTCCTCCAATGTTGATTGTATTTGGGAGGGTTAAAATTGCCAGGTTGGCTTTCAGAAGGGTAGGGAGGAGTGGAAACGAGTGGACAAGCTGGCTAAGCAATGAAAGCCAGTCTGAAATTGTAATCAATACTAGCAACCGGGGAAAAAAACCCCAATAGTGACTTTACTGGCTTCACCTAGTAGGTAAGAGTTCAATTCTCCTTTTGTCACTTCTGATTTTGCATTAAAACACCCATTTCCTAAAACCAGGATAAGCTTTCCATTTTGCGATCTGCTGGCACCAGAGTAGAATTCTTCTGTTAAAGTACTGCACAGTACCGATGATACCTCAAGCCATAAGAAAAGGAATTAAGATCATGAAATATTTGCCTTCCCATACATTTTCCTCCTTTCTGCAGGCTGTTGGAGAACACAATGCCAAGAACACAATTTCAAGTACCGTGAAGAGAGTTCTTGTTTGCTACGTTAGGTTGCCTTGAAAGCAAAGCAAATACAGGGGATAAAAATCAGAAAAAAAACCCCACGGAAACTCCACCCCCAAACCATCCTGAGACTAATGACTACACGTGGAGGAGTCTCAGTTTCCTCACATGGGATCACTCTCCTTTCTAATCGAAACAACTGTGTTGGGACCACACAGCTGCAGGGCAGAAATTACTTAGGCTGTTAAAATGAAGGACACTGAGTAGTTTAATTAACCTACTTTCCCCACAATTTTTCTGAAGACTTTGCTATAGACAGCTAGCCGAACCCTGAGCAGCGGTACTACTAACAGAGGCTGTTGCTTTATGGTGAAAAGCATCCTGGTTTAGAATCAGAATCATTTGGATTGGAAAAGCCCTTTAAGATCACCAAGCCCTAACCCTGCCATCCCACCACTAAACCCTGGCCCTAAGCACCGTGTCTGCCCAGCTGTTAAATGCCCCCATGGATGGGGACTCAACCCCTGCCCTGGGCAGCCCCTTCCAGTCCTTGATGGCCCTTTCGGGGAAGAAATTTTTCCCAATGTCCAACCTAAACCTGCCCTGGCACAACTTGAGGCTGTGTCCCATTGCCCATTACCTGGAAGAAGAGACAGACTCCCCCCCCGGCTTCCCCCTCCTCTCAGGCAGCTCTAGGGAGCGATAAGGTCTCCCCTCAGCCTCCTTTTCTCCAGACTAAGCAACCCCAGGTCCCTCAGCCCGTCCTCAAAAGAGGTTCTGAGGGAAACATAATTCTAGCTCCCTTTTACCCAAAACAATCAAATCAACACGCTGCATCTCACAGCTCGTTTAGCAGATAGATTTGCAAGCTGCAATGGCTAAACAAAGAGACAAAGACCTTGCAGGACATAAAAACGTTACTTTTTCCAAACCTATTTTAAATAAATTAAACTGGATTTCAAGGTTCTGATGCATCTCTCTCCAGCAAAAAGCACAGGAATGAAGACTCTGAAGGGAGGTTTCCTATTTAATTTTCACCCAGCCAGAGCATGTTGCATTTGTGCTGTCTGCATTAGGACTCAAACTTCATGCTTTGTGTTGAACAAGAACCCCATTGTGCTTCAATAATACCCTGGTTAGGGGAAGCAGACTCAGTCACTGCTCGTAAAAGTTAATATTCAACTACTCCTGCCACCACATCTCCTGCTGATTTGATTTTACAATCGTTTTCTCCCCCACGTTTTTTAATAGAAAAAGTACTCTCAACTGTTACCATAGTAAAGACTTAAATAAACTGGGACTGGGGGAAGAGGTAGAGAAATGCTTCCCATGCATGAAGCACTGCCAAATGCAACAAGATCCCAACTCACAGAAACAACAAGTTCACAGCTTCAAAGTAAACCACACGTGCCAAACTTCAGATGCTGCAAATGATAGCTAACAAATACTTTTTTCCGTTCACTGGTTTCCCCTTGAGAGTTCTGCCAATTTATTTAAGAATAGGCAAGTCTGAACTAGGAAGAGGTCCCAGCTCAGATACAAAAATAAAGTTAATGTGTTTTTTTTTTTTTTTCTGACCGGAGAGGAAGGCATTCAAGCTGCTTCTCTCGCTTCCTCATTTATTTGATATTTTGCATATCTGAAGGGCAGAGGAGCAGCAGGCATGGGAGCAGGAGCCACTCTGCAGCTCCAGGCTGAGCGGCACCACTGGACTGCAGCGGGAGTGCAAACCCCCTCCCTTCTGGAGCTCGACAACTCAAACCTCTCACGTAAACAGCCCACCAGCACCAGTGAGCTCCTGGTGGGACCCCCACTATGAATTCCTGCCAGTCAACACCATCTTTCTCAGGAGCCCTCTGTTCCACAGGGGGACGGCAGGAGCAGGTAGAAACCAGCAGTGACAGATGGGAGCCAACAAGGACAAAGAAAGGGGAAGAAACAGACCCCGCCACCCCGCCTAAGTTGCATTAATGCATAGCTATGTGGCAGAGAAAGCAGGCTTTGACTTAAAATATTTGGCTAATAAAATAAGCGAAAAGCGATTGATATAGTACACTGTGCTGTTAGCGTCAGGTATCATTTGTGTGCTACTCTATTATCATGGAAACAACAGGAATCCCCACGCATGTGTGACTTAATCCTTATTTTTCCCACCTCACTGCCTCCTCAAAGGCAAGCCAGCCACCTTTCCTCTCCCACCAGCTCAGGCGTACTCACAATCAGGCCCTGTAACATACATGTGCTTGCTCCCGATCCAATACTTGTGGCTGACACAACTCTGCTTCTTCCTCAAAGAATTACAAATAAATACCAAACTGCTTTAACTTGCTGCCTTTGCTTTCTCCTGGCTAAGTGAACTTAAGCCTTTCATTGTCCTCTGACAACAGGAGCTTCCTACTCAGCCTAAGAGCCCCTCTACCTTGGTTTTTTATGTGGAAGAACACCTGAAATTCAATATAGTAACACGGGGCAGATGGAGATTGCACTTGTGCCTTATAGAAGTGCCTTTTTATTTTCTAGAAGCCCTTGTTCCCCTGAGGGCTACAAGGAGGAAGCCTCACAAGATGACTTACTGGGCAGGCTCAGCTCTCACTCTCGGCACGTTTTACCGTGAACCCCATCCATCCTCCACAGAGCTGAAGGTTCTCCCAGTTCCTTACGACAGGCTGCAGATCTTTGCCCCTCTCCTTCCCCGTCAGCCACGCCGGGCCTCGCTACACCCAGCGGGCGGCCCACGGAGGGGTGCGGGGCCTCACCTCGTAGGCAGCTCCCAGGTCCTGGAACTTCTCCTGCGCCCGGGGGTCGTCGGGGTTCCTGTCGGGATGGAGCTGCAGCGCCAGTTTGCGGTAGGCCTTCTTGATGTCCTTGATGGAGGCGCCGCGGGACACCCCCAGGATCTTGTAGAAGTCCCTCCTGCCGGGAGAAGGTGGGAGAGAGGGGAAGGGAGAGGGGCCCCATCAGCAACGGGGCCGGAGGCGGGGGACGGGACGCAGAGCCAGAGCTGAGACGGGGGGGGACACGGGATGGGGACGCTGGCCCGACGCTGAGGCGGACGGGGTGAGGAGGAGAGAGGA